TAGCGTGCCTTCGTGGTGTAGTGGTTCTGCTCGCTGGGCCGGTATTCCAGAGGTCCGTGGTTCGATTCCCGGCGAAGGCATTGTTAATTTTTCATCTCTTCTGGTAAAAAAAAAAAAAAAAAAAAAAAAAAAAAAAACTAATGTCTCTACAAAGTACGTTATTCAGCTGCCCAATAAAATAAATAAACGGGGGAACGTATTCTGTTGGTAATAATTTATGAAAACCAATTTTGACACATGGCCAATTATGTATTAATAAAATAGAATCCAGAATTCCGTACTGCAGAACTCTTCCATATAACAAGTTAGATTTTATTCGGTCAAAGGGAAAGTGATACTTTACTTAAAGCCCGTTGCTATAAGCCATGGAATTGGTGGAGCATGTGCTGGCCACATTGCAATTTTTACACGTGGCCAATTATTTTTGCTCTCAGAAATGACCTAGTGACCGAATGAAATTCCTAATTCTCAATTTCAGCTGTGCAAAGAGCGTAGCTTATTAGCTTAAACGGCTTTTGCAGAAAATACATTATTTACGCAAATCGATTAATCGCTGCGAAAGGATATTTTTTCCTTCATGCTATCGGAAAAGCGATCTTTTTTCTTGAATGGTGGTTTCGGTTTCCAAGGCCGTCGTTGCCATCCAACTGGTCCGTCTCACGTGCGTCTGTTTTGAAGACTTCGGGGTATTTTTATTATTGACGTAGTTTGTATTTACATAGGGGCATTTTAGCTTGCTTGTTGATTTCAGATGCTTCTTAGGAGGTTTCGGTTACATCGCGAATCTGAGAATTACGAGTTTGAGACCCAGGTTGTTGTCACTTTTCAGTGGGTTGTATGACCGTAATGATTATCCATAGCATGTAATTATTTTATTCGTGGTGTTTGTCGCTAAGGTCTAAAGTTTGCCATCGAATTTTTAATCTTTTTCCAGATAAGCTATCGAACTCAAATTTCGTGCACGCTATGTTTATAAATAACAATACGATGAGGTGATTTTTATCAATATTCAAATAAGTTTCCCCCCCCCTCCCGTTTAAATGAGTTTTCGCATCAAAGAAGGGTTTTCTTTATCAATCCCCATCACATTTTTAAAAAATTTTTCATTTTATTTTATAAAATGTGTGTGTGTGTTGGCGTAATACACAGCATATGACATAGTGCAAATAATTTCAATAACTTAAAGATAACAAAGACGGAGAATATGAACAAAAAGTTTTAAAATAATACCTTTGGATTAATGTTTTATTATGTTTTGTATTATTATTATTTTAATTTTACTGATATAAACAAGTTTTAAGGAACAAAATCACATAATTTAATTGCCCGAAAATTCTATTTAAATGAATGTGATGGCTGATGATACATTTTTTTTTTAATATGTGGCATTAAATTTTTCAATTCTTAAATCATCTGGTCCGACTGTATTCAGCCTGTTTTTTGTTTCGGTACTAAATTACTTACAGCCCCCCTTCACCCCCAAGTTTCGGTATAACAATGCCGAATTTTTGGTTGCTTTCTCGTGTTCCTGCGTTTTACTTTTTCATATTGCTCTTATTGCATAAAAAATATATATACGTTTTGAAATATTATTGATTTAGAAAACGTATTAAATAATTTTTGTGTATTTTCCCCTTATATGATTTCTTTCTTCATGATACAACTTTATAGGAATAAATAAGTATCAATTTAATTTTATTATTATTATTATTTTAATTATTTATTTTTATATTTAGTGGGATGTGGATTACGCCGATCTATTGCCGGTGCATATTCGGCCCTTTGATCAGCATTAACCCCCTTTAAAATTTCGTCCATCCCGTTAGAACCTAGTGTTTAAAATATTCGAATTTCACTGTTTGCACCAACGACGTCATTTTTTCGAAAATAAATTTTTTTCAACATTTTTTTGTTATTTTAAAATTTCAGCATAAAAAAGATCCATCTTTGCAAGATTTTGAAATCTTCGCAAACTGAAAAATAAACTCTTCGCCCTCTTTTATAATAAGAATGATAAAAAGATATTAATTAGGCGTTTTTCTATTTTTTTTTTTTTAAATATGCTACAGTATGAAATAGAATGGGAAATATCCGTTCATAAGCTTCAAGGTTATTATGTCATTGCATCACATTAATTATCTTGCTTCTGTATCTCAAAAATAACAGCATTCATTAGCATTTTGTAATCTATCAGTCATTTCTAACTTTTCCTATTTCGTAAGTTTGTACACATATTTCTCAGTATTTCATCTTAAAAGTTAAGGCCCGTTTCCACTACTGCGTATGTGTTGCGGTGCGTATGCGTTTCTCCAATCAGGGAGCGAATTCACTTTGATTGACATCTGCAATCCGGTCGGTGTGCGGTGACGGATGACATACGGATGGAGTTCAACAATGTTCAACTCCTATCCGTATGTCTGCGGTTGCGTTGGGGTCACGTGGCGAAAAAGGAGCAATCAGGTGCAGTGACTAAAAATTAATGGCGGCAGAAGTAGCGATGAACGCTCGCTAATAGGGAAAGAATGTTTTGCTAAAAAATACTTATTTCTGAATTAACATTATAGCGAGAAATCTGCGTGCTGAAAATGAGAGCAATCAGCTGAATTTAGTTTAAAATGATAAGAAAAACAAGATAACTGCAACTACAGTACTTGTTCGTTCAAGAAAATCAGCGGCAAAAATTATCATTCCAAGTCCATGAAATAGCAAAATTTGTTCTGATAATCATTTTTTAGTTCTGCATACTCATTTAGCTTTAATGAAAATGAATGTCTGACTACATCAAACTGCTATAGCAAATTAGATATGATTAATAGATAGCAAATTAGATTTGCTATTTTTTTCTTTTGAAACAGGTAAAAACTAAAAACGTTAATTATAAATTAAATTTGATAGCCTTTTAAATACTCCAGTTCATTGAAGAGTATGATAAATTTGTATTTCCCTTTATAAATATATCTTTTTGGATAACATATATTTGTAAGCACATGAAATATATTTTTAGCAGCCCCGTTTAACTAACTTCAATCGGAACGCCACTTTAAAAGATAATGATTTTTCCAAAAAATGTACTAGAAGCTGAAGAACAAACTCTGGTGAATTTTTCAGACAATAGCAAAGTGAAATAGGACCAAAAAACTTAAGTTTTAAGAATTGATTTACTTGATGATGTATAACCCAAAATATGCATGTGACTTATGTGTAATCCTAGCTTAGTGGTAAAGCTGATGGTAACGATGTCCACTTTTTGGAGTCATGAGTTCGAATCCCATACGCTTTTTGCACCATGTGTGCAACTTTTCTTACCTTTTTTTATTCCAATTTGATCTATATTCGTGTTTTATAATTTATTTCTATTATTATATGCATTAAATATATTGTTTTATTTATGCTCTTATTTATTTAAATTTTTTTCCCGCAAAAAAGTTTGAAAATTATATAATACTAATTTAAAGCATATCCTGAACATATATATTTGAATTTAACAAACATTCTCTATTCGTAAAAAGCAAATTTAAAGTTAATTTAATTTAAATGAAATTTAATGCAAACAAAGAAATGATTAATTATTGCTGTGCAAGTATCAAAATCCATGAATAAATATATAATTCCAAAAATTTATTAATCCTTAAAAAAATTTATAAAAATGCATAAGTGAATAATGGGATAGATTATTAATCCTAAAAAAATTATAAAAATGCATAAGTGAATAATAGGATAGATTATTAATCCTAAAAAAATTATAAAAATGCGTAAGTGAATAATAGGATAGCTTATTAATCCTAAAAAATTTATAAAAATGCATAAATGAATAATAGGATAGATTTAATCCTAAAAAAACTTATAAAAATGCATAAGTGAATAATAGGATAAATAAATTTTTGGAATTATATATTTATTCATGGATTTTGATACTTGCACTTGATTTACATATGCTCTCAGAATTTAAATGATATTGTATATTAGTTCGCAGCAATAATTAATCCTTTATTTGTTTGCATTAAATTTCATTTAAATTTAATTTTTACGAATAGAAAATGTTTGTTAAATTCAAATTTCATTCCTTGCAGCAATGGCGCAAGAGAATTATTTAAATTTAATTTATTTTGAAACCCTGCAGATATATATATATATTTTTTCGTTTCACTTTTATGTGAATGTATATACATGTGCTCAGACTTTGGGATGTTTACGACTCTATAAACTTTCATTCCAATTAACATGAGACAGTATTAATGCCCTAAACATTTTTTTAACAAAAAATTACTATAATAATTGCTTTTAAATTCAGTCCTCTCCTGCAGAAGCGCAGGAATTAATTAATTAAATATTTCCATTTTCTTTACGTAATGTGTGTGTATATATAAGAGAAAAATCTTATTTTTTATAACTTCTTGTATAAAAAGAGATATGAATTAAAAATAATATTTTATGGATTATGTATAAAATATAACTGCCCATAGTGCATTTTAAAACAAACGAGATTTCTAATAAATTATCCAGCTATGACCCTGAAGTCAGCGGTATACAAGCATAGCAAATTTTGCTTAAATATTGTGAACCTTTCCTTACAGTTGCTCTGTACTATTAAAGTACCAACTATTTTTTAATCCCTTTAACTTTTTTATTTTATGTTATTTATTTGTTTACTTTTTCACTAACAGTACATTTTAGTTTTAATAATATATATATATTATTTCATAATATTTAAGGCTTCTAGAAACACAAAATTTTTTTTTTTAATTTATTTCAGCTTCTATGGAATTCGTGATATTCATAATATGCATTATAACCTTACTTATCTAAAATTCCATATCAAATCCAAAACAAACAATACTCGCTTAAGCGGGAAAAATTCAGATGTTCAGCGTCGTAACTCGCGAACTGCTTGCGCCAAAATATTACAGTGACACCTAGCGGCGCAAAATGAAAATATTTTACTCATACGCAGCAGTGGAAACGCTTGTACGGATGCCGTAGGCGTGTCTTCAATTGACGCAACGCGTTCGTACGCAGTAGTGGAAACGAGCCTTTATTTGTATTCTTGTTTGTATTATGTATTCTTCTGTGGGACAAAATTCATCTAGACTTTTACATCGCGTTTAAAAAGAACGTTGTGACAGCCAAAGAACAAAATCGAATTGCATTGTCAAAAACTACAAGTCATTATTTTAATAAATTTATCAAGGGCACCCCACGTTTTTATTATTTGTGATATAAAATTTAAGGCGAATTTGGTAAAGAAAACTATTTTATTCTCTTTAATACAAGATAAGTTATTTTTCTTCTTCATTTATTTCTTTTATGAAAACTTAGTTCATTAATTTTATTTTAGGAAAACCCTTATTTATTTTTAGCCGTTTTTAGCGCAGTGCTGTGTACTGATTACGAACTAATTGGGGTTAAGCCATTTGAAATGTTTAAACATTTCCGTGTATAAACCGCGTATAATATAAAGTGATAGATTATTTATCTTTCAGACCGAGTCTGTCCTCTACGGAATAACAAACTAAGCTATTGAAAGCAGTGGAAGCATTTCTTAATATTATTTGCTTCCGTTTGATTCCGATTTATTGATATAAAAATGCATTCCTGATCTGTCTAATTAAAAGCATTCGATATTTTTATGGAATGGCGTTGTTTTCTTTTCAATTTTTAAATATGCAAAAGATATTGATGTGTTTTAAACAAAAGCTTATTTTATAAAAATGTATTTAGAATTTTTTTTTTTTTTTAATTGAATATTCTTTACTCAGTAGACGAATTAGCTACCTAAATGATCGGGAGGTCAAAAGTCTTTTCGTCGTTAAATATTTGAAAAAAAGAAAGAAAGATATATATTTTATGGATCATTGGATGGGCTGTGGACCGTTTTTTCTTACGACGTAATTATCTTGGAATGCGATTACTTTCTGACCTCCTCCACTATATTATGACGACATGCATGAAAGATGTCGACATTCATTAGGTAAATGTTATTAATATTGTTCCGTGTTAATTGTGCATAATGATCTTGTAATAACTCATTTTTGATTACAGGATGGCGCCACTATCTGGTAAATAAAATGCATGTTAATAGGTGGTATTGCCGGAAGTATGCTGGAACTGTAAGCTGTATAACGTTTGTGTTTAAACTTAATGATACATCAGTTTGTGGATCAATTGGGAATTATTTATAGACCACCGACCCCAAAATTTGTTTGACAGTCAACTTCTTCAAGGATTTCTCTCAGCCTTTTATGGGCTGCTTACTGTTGCATAGTTCTGACAGAACACCCGCTCCTGGGGGAAAAAAATGTCTCATGCAATTTTTTAAGGTACAGATCTGTCATAAAAACGCAAAAATATTCGTGTAGCGTCTCATTACTAAATATCGCGTCCTATTAGATAATAAAGTATAACTGCCACTCCGAAAACTGCTTTCTGAATCAGATGTTAATAAACAAAATATTAAGAATTTGCAAAAAGAAAAATTCATTACGGAAATTAAATAAAAATGAGTGAAACTACAGTTAATTATTAGCGATTTAAATGAGTTTGTTAATAATTAAAATTGTGTGTAATGACGTAGAAAGTGAAAAATATTTAAATAAATGAATGGAAGTGGCAAATTAAAATAAATTAAATATTATGCAGGAAAAATCAGCAAATTAATATTTTGCGAATGGGCCACATTTCTGGAAGAGCAACTGCAATTTTAAATATAAATATAAAATTTGAATCACTTTAATGTCGGTTTGAAAATTTGAATCATTCAGTCCTTAGTTTTAGTTTCCATTAATTTTCTAAAATGATTTGAAAAGTTATCAGCAAGTTGACAAGAAAGAAGACAAAATCAGCTTGAGAGAAAAACGAAAAAAATGTCTAGAACAAAAGGAAAAGAAAGTTAAGGAACATTATAATGCAAAGCTTTCAGAATAACAAAAGAAGCAAAGAGAATGGGATCGATATGCTACCGAAAAAGCATTGGAGACTCCTGCAGAAAAAGAGGATCGTTTGCAAAAACATTGTGAGAACGATTTGAAGCAAAAATCTTTTGGAAATGAATCATAGAATGATATAAGGTTAAAATTGAATGGAGAAGGATACATAAGTAGCAAAATGATACCTGTAGAGCTCAAAAGTGTTTCCCTTCAAAATAAAAGTCCTGTTGCACGAGAGCATCGTTTACAATGGCATCACGATAGATATCAAAGAATGAAAGCTAATGAGGCAGAAATTGAAAAAATTCAATGACAGATACAAAATATCTCACAGCTGCTTGTTCATTCACTGGAAGATGGAGAAGAAAGAGAAGCTCGTCTACAAGCTGATCATGAAAGACATGCAGCAGCTTATGCAGCCAAAAGAGAAAGCATAGGTCCATCAGTGTACCAGACCAGTCTTATGAAGTGTGCACGAAAACTTGCTATCCAAATCATGTTGCCTGAAGCTCCAAATCATGTTATCTGCAGAATGAATTGAAAGTCAAAGATTCGCATACTTTGTGTCATACTTGCAAAACTAATCTCACAGATCCAAAAAAACTTTTTTTTTTTTTTCTGTCAAGAGCATATTGGAATCAACTTGATCCCGGTCCGGTCCAAAAGAAATTGCAGTGCTGACATGACCAGAAATTGGATTTTTGTCTCAAGTTCATGCATTTGTGAAGAAAATGAATTTGACGAAAGATTTGGTCAGTATGGTTTCAAAGGTCTCACTGTAATTTTTGCACAAAACATCTTTAAAATGAGAGAAAAGGTTGAAACTGCAAAGATCATCATACGATACAAATATCATCAGCATCTCTGAAGAGCTTGAGAATTTGGACATCACAAAAGAGTTCAAAGTTGATAACACAAGAATTTTCAGTGGTCTCATTTGACTGAAACATAATCCCTTATATCGTGATGCAAAAATAAATGAAGATGTCCACCTTGATGAAAATGATTTGGTAAGAACTGAACCATTTGATGATAATCAATAGCAAAACGAAGTCGATCACTTTCAAATCCACCTCAACTACTTCTTATTATAACAAATCAATCAATGAAAAATCAAGAATTCATGCTGGATTTAATCAGGGTGAGGCTGTCTTTGAATCTGGCTGTGCATGTATGCAGTGTCATTAGCTGCAGATGTAACGTTGGATACGTTGGATGTGTTTTTTCTGGAACAGTGAGGTGTTCAGGGGTTTTGGAAAACAAAGAATATTTTCTGGTCGCCATGCCCGATTGTTGAGACGCAACATTGATGACTGCCATTCAGGAAAGCATTGTGGATGGCAGTATTATATTTTCAGACTACTGGAAAGGATATAAGAAAGAGGAATTAATACTGGGTATGAACATTTTATTGTGAATCATAATTATGTAGACCCGGAAACCAGATGCCATACCCAAACTGTGGAACGATTGTGGAGTGGTGCTAAATGGAGAAATAAAGGTCAGCGGGGCACTCTTCGCTACCATTTAGAGTCATATTTGTTAGAATTTATGTGGCTTCAGTTATGTTCAAAAATTATTTGTGTGTAGAAAATCCTAGATTAAAAAATTAAAAAGAAAAATTTACTTTCTTTAAGAGTTATAAAATTAAAAAAAATTACTTTTTACAGAAGTGATTTTTTTTAGTCTTTTGAACTCTATTATTATTTCATAATTTTAAACTTGGCACCAATGGGTGGCCAAAAGAGAAAGGTGGCGCATCTTTAATTGATGCTGTTCTAACGGAGTAAGTAGTACATATATATATACTTTATGATGATTTTGTGTAAATGACTTGATGATTAGAAGGTAGCTGTTAATGATGAGATGTTATCTGGGATTACTTTTAAAGGTTTGCTAATTTCACAAGATGACATAATGGAGACAGACTTGACGAACTCAACACATTAATTTATTTGTGGTCTTTTTTGATAAGTATAAACATATTCACACATCGTTTTTGGGTGCAATAAGTATCCTCCACACTTTTATATAATGAATCACATCATTAGACATTGGTTAAAGCAGAGAAACGAGCAGCATGCTTTTGCACAGTGAGAGGAAGTTAGGAAAAGTGGGGACAAAGCATGTTTATAGAGTTTAATCCTTTGCTTAAATTTTGAATGGTGATTCAACAACAGAGCTTGCTGCATTGGAGGATTAATAAAATGGCATAATGCTGTTAGTTTTCAAATGATGCAGTTTAGATTCCAGGAAGGGGAGGTAACCAAATTAAAATCAGTATTAAAAAGGACAATTTCTAAATTAAAGTTAGTAATTTTCTTTCATATTTTATATCATATATAAACACACACATGTGTTTTATATTTTACACAAACGCATGCACTTGTATATATTATACTACAGAATGATTCACTGATAATACTTCTGTAAGTACTTTGGTTTGGATTTTAAATGGCATGCTTTCATTTCCAGGAATCAAGTGTCCAGTTTGTTCAAAATTTGTACCACCAGATGACGTGGAGTGCCATTTAGTTATGTGTCTTACGAAGCCAAGAATTATTTATAACGGTGAATATTTTCTCACTTCTTTTTCATATGTATAATCATTTTTATGTGCAAAGTTTTTTATGAGTGCATGGTCTCTTAATTTCTTAGTGCTGACCTTTCTTTGAAGAAAAACAGTCCAGAACAATCATTTTTTACTTAATGTTTGACTATTTTTTTTTTACTAGAAAATGAGTGTATGAGGTCAACTGTGGAGAAACAATTTCAAAACTGTCCTTGGATATTTTATAGCTTTTTCTGATAAATAAAATATATGACACAGGAAACAAAATTTCAAATAATTAAAACTGACTTACGATTTATTAAAATTACACCCAAAATATTTTTTTTAAAAAATGCATGTTGCTAAAACTGCAGTGGCCAGCTTAACCATGTATTAAGTTATACCATAAATAATGCAGTTTTTTATATTTTTTATTTTTCAAAATTAAGATGAGCAAAGTTCTTTTGTAATCTAAAATACACTCTCCTTCGTTCCTGTGCTGGATGTTTGATAGTTTGAGTACGATGAGATTTTGTTCCTTCTGGGGTTTCGGGAACATTTTTGGCCAACTCCCCTAGATCTTCCAGTCCTAAGGCCTTTCTCTAGGTTATAATTTCTGGAGCCACTGTTGACGGCAACTTACGTCTAGTCCCCATACACTGTTTTAATACTTATTTTCTTTCATATTTCCTTCTTTAGATTTTTAGTGCTTGGTTTTGAAAATTTTTTTAATATTTGCAGAATTTTCACCTTCCTCTTCTCTACATAATTGTTCCCACTGAGAGCTAGTTTATTGGTAAATTCTATTCTCTTGATTATTTTTATTCATTGTATTCATTTTGTATTTACGTTTTTGTAATAACATCCAATTTATTTTCCTGTGCTTTTATTATTTGAATTGTATCATATGCAGATTCTTAAGCTATCCAGACATGGCAAGTATTCTTACACTTGAGAAATTTTGCAAACTTGTGATTTCACCTTACTTCTGCTATTTACATTGTTGCTCATTTTAGCCTTATCTACTGCTGATGTGTTCAGTCTTTCAGAATCCGAACATTTGTTTGTCCCCTTCTCTTTCATTCCTGCTATGTCCCTCTCGGGATTTGCTGTCAAAACACATTCACGAAGTGCCTCTTGAGCTGGACACTCTCTATGTGTCGTGTTCTTCTCGCTTACCATCAGATATTTTAATGTTAATAATATTAGGTATTCTTATTGGATTGTGGATTTTCTTTTAACCTTCTGAGGTCGGGGATTTGAAACCTATAAGGTCCTTAAAAAGATGGGGATTTTCATACCTTATGCTTTCCCCCCTTTTAAGTCCTTTGCTGTTGTCAACAATGGCACTTTTAGGTAGTTCAACTCATCCTGAAAGAGAGGCCTTTCCTTTACAAAAGAAAGGGAAATGTAGGGATTATTGTTTAAACTGTTTAGATGGTTTCCCTTGTGCAGGGAAAATTTTAAAGAATAATTCCAAATCTAACTACTGAGTAGTACACAGAAGGGAATGATATATATATTAGATGAAGAGAGAGACAAAATGTCATTCTATTTCTCCATATAATAGCCCATACCTTTCTTTAAAAAAAGCATATGAGATTTTAAGTAATGGTTTTAATTTATTTTATGAAATTAAGTACCTTTATAAAGTGATGACAAAAGTTAATTCTATTATATTTTGAAGTTATATTATAAAATTCTTCCATAGCTGTTATTTCATACATATTTTTGGTTTTTTTACTTATTAAGTCTCTATCTAATTTTTAATGCACCTAAAAATTTTTCATAAATTTCATGAACATTTTTTAAATTTACAAATCTTCATGGCTTCATAAACAAAGAAACATTATGCAAATGCTGCAATAAACACAAATGTTATTAGTGTCCTATTTCCTTGTTGTGTTTAATTTGTTTTACTGCGTATTTTATTGAAATTATCCAAATTCTTTAAAATTTTCTCCATTGAAAGAATAGTTAAAAAAATATAAAAAATCATCACTATATAAATGATTAAAAATGTAAACTATATGAAAATGTTAAAATTTAAATTGCAGAAAAATTTTAATTTTTAATCTAAATAAATATTAAAAATTTGCATGAAAACGCAATGCTTAGGACAGAACACTGACAATCTAAAATTGCAGTATTTAGTACAAATATGATGTGTACTATACATTGTTCATATATTTCATATTGCAAATTTTTTGTAGCAGAAAGTTTTCAAATCAAAAGGAGAAATTTGTGTGGTGTATACAGTTTTCGAAAGAATTGGAAGAATTTACAAAATAATTAAAAATGAGGTTATCCTCGAATTCTGAAGCTGTAAGAATGAAGGGGGGGGAAGAATTATAGGAAAACTGGATCCTTAATGCAAAGACCTTTGAACGAGATAAGTGGTTAAGACTCCAGGAACGTCAAACTTGACAGCTTCCCCACCTTTTCAGATGGTGAAAAAAAATGGGGGAAAGATATGACCACTAAAGTGAACATCCCTGTCACCAAGGCTAATATAATGGCCATCCCGTTCCCGAAAGGTTAAAGGAATAATATTCTAATAGTTAACCAGAAGTTTATCCATGCCTACTTTTCATTTGTTATGTTCTTATTGTAACCGTGTTCTTTGGAAGTTGAATTAGTAGCGTAACTTTTCCCTCTCAAGCTTTGGATGATAAAAATTACTTAAAAACGGGAGGGGAATTTGCATGTAAACATGGTATATTTACTAATAACTATTTAATTGACCTCATAAAGAAAAATATGTGGAATAGGCTCTTTGTCACTTCTGTTGTAGTTTTGAAAAAAAAAAAAAATTACTGTTAAAAATCAAAGTGCACTTTTCAAAACTTGCATCAAGAATGCAGTGAAATGACTGCATGCTTTTATAGCAGATGGATGCATGTACATTATCTTGTTCCCTCCGACTTTTCATGCAGTAAAAAAAAACTGCATTATGTATGGTCATGATCCAATATCTGGTAGTACTCTTATGAATCTGATGTTTAAGAAACATCATTGTTTTTCAAATGAACTCAAAACTGTTTGTTCACGTATGGGCAGATCAGATCTTGACCAGCTTTTCAAAATAAAGACCTATGTTGTTGTTCAGGTGAACTCAAAACTGTTCCTTCACCTATGGGCAAAATCAGATCTTGACCAGCTTTTAGAAATAAAAACCTATGTGCCAACACTCCTGGTTTTTTATTCCATTTTCCATTATGTCACCAAATCTTCCAGTTTTTAGTACTTAGCTTTGACCAAAGAAAGTATTTCCCCAAAATTATTTAACTTTATTGAATTGTTCTGTTATGAAACTTAAATAACTGTCTCTTATAAAACTTAAATTGTTCAAATTCTGTTTCTTCACTTCTAACTTCCAGCAAAAATTACAAAATTTTCTTTGATCTGAATTGCCTTAATCTGGTGTAAAACATCTGTAGAACTTGAAACTATGAAAATTCAAGCCATATTTAATCACTTAATACAATACAAAATCCAAAATTTAGACATCTAATATCTTCAAACCTCCCAGTAAACATCAGTTATTTATTTATTATTTATATTTTTTATTTATTTATTTTTGTAAGAAATTTTTTTGCAAAAATGGAGGAAAAGTATTCTGAGAATAGAATATATTCTATTCTTCACACATGTGATGTTAACTAATAATAATTATGAATACCTATTTTAGACTTTTTTTAAAAATAGTAGTACAGTCAAATACTGAAAATCTGCCAACCTGAAATCCGCATTGCCTGTCAAAATATAAACATTTAGTTTATAGGTTCCGGAAACCGCAACATGGAGTACAAAATATCGAAGAAAAAATACTTACTGGACGGATAATGACATCATAATTACCCAAGAATAATGAGTCATAACGGAAATACCAAATTATTGACATCATGATAAGAATTTTTTCCCCTTCAATCTGCATCGAGGTAAAAAAGCAGATGATTAACTCAACTCTTCTTTCAAGTTCACGCTTCACGTTATTGTACTTTTTTAGCTTTGTTATTTCACGAGATTGTTTAGTGATGTCGTTTTTTTTCATCGGGATATTTTGTGGATAAATTAAGAATAAATTTCAGCGCTTTTTAAATACAATGACAGATAAGAAACGCACTCATGATTTCACTGCTTGCAACATTGAAAAACGTAAACGTGTTGCATTGACGGTAATCAAAAAGTGGAAAATCTGCTAAAGATGGAGGCAGGTGCTGCTGCTCAGTTTATAGCGGAATCATATGAAATTGCCACACAGACTATGTATGATATATGGAACAATAAAGAAAAGCTTTTGAAATTTTACAGCAACAGTGATTCTAATGCCAGAATCCAAAACCGGAAATCTTTACATGAGGCGAAATCGGCAAACCTCGATGCTGTCTTGTACGAGTGGTTCCGGCAGTGATGGAGTGGTGGAGTACCTATTTCAGGACTACTCCTGAAAGAAAAGGGAAAACAGATTCATGCTGACTTAAAAATAGAGAGCCTAATGTAAATGAACAATATAATATAATCAGTTTATATATGTAATAATGATTTAATATGTATAATTAATTATTGTATTAATGTATATAATAATTTAATTAAATGTATCTAAAGTGCCATATTTATTTTGCACTTTTAGTCTGAATATTATCTTTTCTGTCCTGAAATCCGCAAAATCCTAACATCCGCACAACCTCTGGTCCCAAGCATTGCGGATTTCTGGACTTCTACTGTATTTGTAAAATCAGGTATATAATTTGAGAAAATTTAGGGAGAACAAACTATAAAAAGAATGAAATAAAAATATGATGCTCTGAGTTTATTTTGCTGTCTTTCAGCCCATAATGTTTATAAACAGAGGGAGAGAAGAAAAAGAGAATGGTAGTTAAAAAAAATGAAGAGTGAAATCAGCATCATAATCATTTGTCTGCCTTGAGAGTAGATTGGCACATTTTCAAATTTTGCTTATATATGTTGTTGCAGAAGAAAAAAAAGAAAATTCAAGAGAAATTAATATTTAATGTTCAATTTGAGCAATGCAGTGCATAAAAACACTATAAATATATTTCTACAATTTAAAATATAAAAATTTTTGAATCATCAATTGAAATTTTTAGATTAAAATTTACAAATCAGTAAAAATGGTCTCCCACTTCATGTCAATAGGTTACCTTGAGATTATTTTACTCTCAATTAGCTTGTAAATCTGCCTAAAGGGGGCACTACATATTCAAAGAAGTCAAACTTAGCTTGACTAGTTTATCTATGTTACTGAATATGTACTGTCACTTTTAGGCAGATTTACAAACTAATTTTGCGTAAAATAATCTCAAGGTAAAGAACTTGACATGAAATGGAAGACAAATTATTTTTCTATTGATTTGTTAAAGAAAAAACTTTTGTAACTAGTTTTTATAATGAATATAACACACTAATAGTTCATATTTAAAATAATAAAACTTCTTTATTTAAAAAATAATAATTAAGTTACAAAACAAAGTGGGTGAATAACATGAAACTTGAAAGGAACAGGCATTTTTGCCTACGATCACACATTTTAAGATTTTTATCTAAAAAATCTCAATTGATTATTTTATATTTTGATTTGTAGAAATATATATATAGTCATCTTTATGCAATGCATTACTCAAATTAAACTTTAAGCATAATTTAAATTGAATTTTCTTTTTTTTCTTCTGGTACACCATATGTAAGCAAATTTTGAAAACAGGCCAGTTATAATCATTCTTTTTTGTCAATTACATAAAGACAAAGACAGCATATAATGAAATTGAATTCTGTACATAAATAAATAATGTGCAGTAAATAAATAAATAAATAAGTACAAAGAAATTATACTGATATGCTTCTATTACATTGCAGATTGTTATATTAAAATATATAACATTACCAGAACAATTCATAGATGTTGTCTCAAAGAAGATCTCTTGTAACCTCATGATCGTCTTTGGCATTTAATGTGTCTATAAACACATTGAAAAGGCAGTTCAAGTGATCCTGTTTGGCATCTATCCGTGGAACCAGTCTTATGTCATATAGTCTTCATTTTATTATTATAATCAGAGGTAAAACTACACCGATAACTGCACATATTTTTCCTTCATACAAACACTGTCTCAATGTCTCTTAGCATGGCTAGAAATTTGTTCTCTTTGCCCCCAGAATTCAGGAAGGTAATGGAGCAGCCTCTTACATTTGATATAATTATTTGTTTAAAAAGACCCCCTTCTCCTAAAACATTCTATCATCTGAGTGTCGCCACCATAATTGGATCAACAAAATTCAAAGCTCAGTTTACTACCAAATGGGTATATTATGTGATTCATACTCATAACATCTGCCAAATATCATGGTTTTACTGGGAGATTCTCAATTTTTAATTTTTAGCCTTTAGTAGGGAAAGTGCTTTTAAGTGGTAAATGAAATTTATTGAGTTAATGAAACATGAATTTGGCAAATTCCATTCCCCCTCCTGTTGCTCTTATTAAATTTCATTTGATCTGGATTATCCTTAATGTACTATAGACATTTATAAATTTTTATATAAAAATTCAAGCAATGTGTAATGAGTTAATATTTGCATTTATTTTCTTTTTACTTCAATATGTGGTACATTATTAAGTTTATCCATGTAAATATTATGTATATTAATTTATTTTCATCATATTTAGAAGTACTTTAATAAATAAAAGCAAACCTAAAGTAAATTAACCAAATAGCATGAAATTTAGAATATCTAATTAAATGCTAATATAATTTATATCAGAATTAGATTATGAATACTTCAGTAACTTAAACCATGCATTATAAAGCAGATTAAAGTCATTCTGGATTTTCTTTGAAATGGTATTGTTATGCAGTGTGAAAAATCTCCCGATTTCTCCCAGTTTTCAAGGTTGGCAGTTATGTCACAACCGATGAGTATTTTGTTGCTTGACTTCTAAATCAATGAATGTCTCATTTATAACATGCTTATAACAAAGGATAAGTCACCTGTTGTTATAGATATGGCCTGGTACATAACCTGTTTGTTAGAAAAGCAATTTTTTTCCTTGAAAGAATAGAACAGCATTTTTTTCACTCTATGGCAAATTAAAAATAATTAATATGTTTATCGATGAAATATAAATTTAAAAAAGTGGGATTTCATGGGAAGGGCATTCAATGTGGGAAGCTGATGCGTAGTAGATGCGAGATACACATTGAAAAAAATTAACGTTGCTGTATGAGATATTATGTTTGCAGGCAATATATGAATTTGAAAAGGCAGATGGAATATCACTATGTGTTTATTGGAACAAGAAACAGGAAAATGCAAAATGTGATGACTTCGACCCTGCCCTTCGGATTGCTGGCAGGACTTTCTTTCAGTTACACTGCGAAGGTAAGCAGTAAGAAAGGGGAAAATTCCTTACAACTGTAACAAAGGATTAAATATGAAAAGCTCACATTAAAAGGTCAGAGATTCATGTGAAGAAAATATGGGGGGGTGAGGTTTGTTGTACAGTCAAAAGTCGTTAATTCGGACACCCATAATCTGGAATGATCTATAATCCGGATCTCAAAGCTACAAACTTTCTGCGCATGCGTCTCCTTGACGCATGCGCGTAAGACCTTCACGGCTGCGAATACGCGTGTGCACATGCGCAAAATACGTTTATGAATGCGCGTTTAATGTATAATGGATGGTATAAGCTAAGCTAAAACTATCTAATTCAGTTAATGTTGCAGATTGCGTTGTTCCTTAATCTTCGAATTGGATTCGGCTTATTATTTTTTGCAGACTGTTAGAGCAATTTTATAAAAGTAAACTTGAACTTTCGATTATGTCAAATAGAATTTCTGATATATATTTACTAATATGTAAAAGATTTACAAAGCGAAAGTATGTTTCGAAGTCCATTAAACAAAAAATGGATAAAGGCATATCCTTTGTTTATCTAAACTTTGTTTATCTTTAATGCTGTGGCGCGCAATGAATTGGAAGTTGATCTGTCAGCACTATCCTTATCTTCAGGGCAGAACTTTCACTTTTTTTATTTGGCTTATAATTCCTTACTAAATGTAGTATTTCATCTCGATGTACTCCGTCTTTGATACGATTTAAATCAAATGCCTCATCATTACAATTTGCTTCCGATAGCGAAAAAAGTGACAGAGGTTATTGAAAACGAAAATATTTCTATTGACAAATTAGTCGGTATTCTCGACACAGCAATTATAGGACTTGAACAGCGGAACTTTGTAACTGAACAAGAAATTGTGTCTGTTTATAGAATTAAAGAGAATGTATTATCACATAAAAAACGAAGCAACTTAAACAACTTACATTGAAAGAAATTTTTAATAAAGTAAACAAATAAATATTAACCTTTTTTTTTTTTTTTTTTTTTTTTTTTTTTTTTTTTGTAAATTTTGATACCCTTTAGATCATAATTGTTCTTTATTTCGTAAATTACGGTTTCATATTTTTAATTTTATAATTTCTGCATGCCATCTTACCAGATTTAAACTGATGATCTATAATCCGGAATCGCCGAAGTCCCGACAAGTCTGGATTAACGACTTTTGACTGTATTAAAGATTATTAAAGGTCCAATTGAGCGATTTATCAGGATTATCATAAACATCAGTAGAGAGGAAAAATGCCATGTACTGTTATTTTTTCTATGATAATATTTATGTATGTAATATATTCTGTGTATTAAATCTAGTATTTTATTCGATTTTTCAGAAGATGTTTTAATAGAAGATAAAGGGGAATGTGTTATATGTTTAGAAGAGTTAACTCAGGGGGATACAATAGCCAGATTACCTTGCCTCTGTATATATCACAAGAGGTAAGTTAGTTTCTTATAATAGCATGTGCAGATTTGATTTTCTTTTTTCCCCAAAATAACTCACTCTAAGTCTGTGCTTTTTTATTTCTCTATTAATAAGTCTCTGTTATATGTCTATATATGTATGGATGTATCTACGTGCACAAAATAAAAAATCCGATTTGGACACCACTCGACTTTTTCGTACCGCAACACCTTTTTTTCCTGCATTTTTTTTAAACTTATTTCATTTGAAATTCAGATACAATCCTCCAATTCTTTAATAAAGTGAACAGTTACACAGTAGCTAAAATATTTTTTTTATTAACATCAAATATTTATACAATTATTAATTCAATAATCTTACCTGAAATATCAGGATAGACTAAAAGTACTTTTATTACTCTTTAAATAAATTTCTTTTATCGTATCTAATATGACGTTTTTAAAATTATTATGATGTAATCATCAGTAAAATGAAAACGAAACATTGGGAAGTTACTAAATCGAAAAATACAAAGCTTTGAAATAACCTCAACTAAAAATTAATTATAATAAAATTATATAGAGAGATTCCTACTGATATTTATTTTTTTTCTTCTAAATATAAAAAGTATGAAAATTTGTTCTAGAAAATGGATAAATGGGGAGAAGCATCAGAGAGTGTTAAGCTGGTACAATGAACAATGGTGAGCAAGTGTAAAATATGATACCCATAGGATCTTTGTTACACAATACACTATACCTGCAATACATCAAATTAATTTGCACTAGAAGCAGTTTACTTTTATACTTGATGCCTTTTATCTGTATGTTATTTTTAATAATATATGTGTTTATAAATTTCTAATATATTTAAGGGAAATTTTTTCATAAACATTTATGCTCTCAATGCCATACCTTATACTATATACTTTATTACATAATGATAAGTACAAAATGTTTATGCCATATATTTTATATTTGATTATAGAATGATACTGTCGTATACATAGTTGCCAGATCTTGTGATTCTTTGTTACATTTCCTGGTAGATCACCGAATTTTCTAGTTGTTAGTTTTTAGCCTTTACCAGGCCGCCGATCATTTAACATGTGTCTGCCACTGTTCAATCACAATAAAAATGTTTTAGTTTTCAATAAAATTCTATGTGAAAGTTTCCTCATTTTTCATGAAATAGAAATTGCGTCCAGCACAAAGCGAAATACGACCAATCTCTTCTCTTTCCCCGTGTTTTTAGTCCAAAGGGATTTGAGTCCCTAATAACTATTACTTTCGTTTTGGCATTTTGCGTCGGACTCCTATAAATGTTGGTTCACTTTTCAAACTGTGGCCACAGAATGTTAGAGTCCTACATTATATTTGAAGAAATTAAATAATGAAACATCTATTTTCCTTTTTGAACTTTAATTCTTAAATGTTAATTTCTAAGGGTACCACTTTATTGGAATTACTTTTGGTTTTGACTTTTACCCTTGCCTGCATGAATGACGAAACACGAATTGAATGATTGGAGAGTTAGGTTTGGAGGCAACTTCCCCTTGATAAGTCTGTCTCCTGCCTACTCTACGATCATTCACATATGCATTTTTTAAAAAATTGTTTAATTTAATTTTAATTTATTAAATTAGTAGATTTATTTTCATGGATAGATTTTGCACTTGATTTGCTTATGCTTCTGAATTTAAATGATATTGTAGATTAGTTCGAGAATTAAATCTTTTACATGTTTGCACATTTTAAATTATTTTAAATTATTTTTAATTTTTTTCCTTTTTTTAGAATTTAAATTTGCTTTTTTACTTTTTTTACTTTTATACGTATTTGTTAAGAATTTAAATTTGTTTAAATTTAAATTTCATTCCTTGCAGCAATAGTGCAAAGAATATTTAATTAAATATGTATTTAAATGTAATTTTTTTAATTAAACTCAATTTATTCTTATGGAACAATACATGAATGTATGTATATTTCTTGCATTGTGATAAAACAATGGTATCTAGAGACATCCAATTTTGAATGACATAATCCTACTGCGAATATGGGCATCTGAAATTCCAAATTTGAAATTTGGAATAAGGGATTCTTGGCCAGATTGGATGGCTTTCTCTTCCTTAACCCTTTGTGGTGCACTACACTTTAAAGTCGGTATTTCAACATACAACTAGAACTCTATATATAGACTGCATACAACAAGAAAAGTTGTATGCAGTTTATCTAGGCCTAAAAGGAGTATACAGATAAAATTTTGTAAAAATTGCACTTACCGTTTCAATTCTGTGGGTGTTTCATGAGGTGGAACACTGCGCCACTAGAGCTCTTAAAAGTGCGACTAAGCGAGCATTGCAGTGAAGCACGGAAATGAGTAGAAGCTTTTGTATATTAATGAAAAAACACTGTATTATAGCTATTTGATAGAAGCATAAACCAACTTTGCAGGTTTTGAACAAAAAACTTGTTTTGTGTGGCTTCTGTTCCATGCAACAATATGTTTAGAATTCCAAGTAAAAAGAAAGGAAAAAGAGAAAAAGAAACTCTTTCCTTTTCGGAAAGAGTCCATTTCCTGCCATTTATGGAAAATTAATAATAAAAAATTAACTGCAGTTAATATTAACAATAAAGGAAAATAAGCTATGTTATACATACACAAAAAATATCTACACAATTATTGTAAATAAATGGGAATGAGACTAAAAAGCGATAGCAAAAATAATTCGCGCAGCTTCCCTAAGTAAAGAGGACTCAAGCTACTGATAAAATTCCCCCTTGAAAACTACCCACAAAAATTTCAAGATGCCCATATAAAGACTTTCATAGCACAAACCACACCTCCCCCTCAAGATTGCTTTGTTTGAATTCATTCCCCCAAAACAACGTAAATAGAAAACATATACAACAGATGTTTTCTCCTAAGACAGATGTTCTGATGCGTAATAGCATGCGATTGCTAAAAGCGCAGTGTTCCCGCTAATGGAACACCCCGTTTTATTCAATGATTCTGCGCAAGCTTTTTGTATGAAAAATGTAAAAAAAATATATAACAAATAATACAGAGTACAACCATCAAAATTATATCGATTCTTTTTTCAAACAATTTTTTTTTTTTTTTCATCACAAAAAATATAGAAAATTACTGGAAAATAAGCGGATTTTAATAACACATCATAAATGAAAATTCTGAGTCTCCTTGTGATATGCTGCCATCGACTAATTAAAAAGAGAAGTTTGAAGTATATTATAAAGGCATTTTTATTCATATACGGTTGAAATTAACGGTTTCAGAAGCGATTCAATTTGGGTGTTCCATGTAGTGGAACACTGCGCAACAAAGGGTTAACGGATTCTTGACCTGCTTTTATTTCTTCTTGGCCCGCTTACATTTCTTTGAACGAGGCCCACTTCTGAAACCAAAAAGTGTTGCGTGCATACGGGTTCGTAATGAATTCAATGCACAGGTCGGAAGAAAAATGAGTAAAATTTATTCTTATCACAACAAATAAAAAACAAAATGCTTAAATTTTCTTAGAGATATTCGTACAATATCTGAATATCTCACAGTAGTTATCTTTTAAACTACTAAAACGTTCAAGAGAACTTAATTCAAAACAGAAAAAGCTAATCTGATTTCACCGCGAATTCGATACAGTCATTAACATTGTAAACAACTGCATTGAGATGTTTTCCTCCCGCTCTTATGAGCTTTTTAATCAGCACGAGAATATTCTGGTATTTTCTCGATTTTTCCGGAAAACAAAAGCATACGATTACGAGATATCTATTTATTAAATGCGTGTGCTCCTGTATTTTTACTTTTTCCAGCATAGCTTTCTCTTCAAATAAGTCTCGCACTGCATTGTGCGGTAATATAAAACAATTTTAATTAATTCAATTTAAAAAATAGCTAAATCAATATAGAAACCGTAACATTTTACTTAGGTACAGAATACCATATATTTGGCCTTGGTTATAGAATGATAGTTTCAGAGTGGTAGTGTCACGTATTTTAAAATTTATTGCAAAATGAAAATGATGTAACTAATGTCATGTACCATATTTCCTCATATATCTCCCCCCCTTTTTTTTAACTAAGTTTCGATTAAAAAATCAGAAGGGAAAAATAGTGTGAGTAATTTGAAAGAATGCGATTACACTAAGAACATAAAAAATTAAAATACTACTAAATAGTCATAGATAAACTACGGGTAACTAACACAGTATTATTTCTTTAAAAGAAACTTGCATTCTAATGAAAACACATAGTCATATTTACATTCCAGTATCTGGTGGATATTAAACTGATATCAAACTTTAAAGTACCTTGTATATCCCCATGGGCACCTTGCATGAAAGAGGCTTGACCACAGTTGCCAAGAGAGAGACATTGGATTGAATGAAGGAGAGGAGGACAGAACAAAAGACTCGGATTTCCAGAGATTGAACATCAGCAGTGTATGAGGATGAGGGTGAATGCAAATAATAGAACTAAAATAAAACCACATGTTTGGAAAGTTTATTAAGCATAAGAACACCTCCATGTGTGGGTAACTCAACAAAGATTCTGCGTAAAATATGTTTCAAATAACAAATTCAAGGGGAAAAAAGAATGGATGAAGTGCTAATTCAAAATTGCAAATTGAATCCATTGAATAATAATAAAAATAATCAAAGGAATATACTTTACTAATAAAACTAGCCTTAATGCCGCATTCGTAGGATGACAGTTTGCATGTAGCTCTATTGCAAATTTGCTACATTTTAAATATTACTATTATTTTTATTATTCTTTTCTTTTTTTCTTTGTAGTTGTATCGATGCCTGGTTCAAAGTGAATCGTTCCTGCCCTGAACATCCTCTGGACTGATATAATTTTCTAAAGACTATAGATACATCTGTGATTCATGGCTGTACATTGTGTGTAGTTTACTACGATTCTGCTTTATTTGTCATTTTGCAACTGTG